GGACAACCCTCGAACGGTAGCGGGTAAGTACAAAAACGCGACTTTGTTCATAAAAAATGTGTTTATAAGAGACACGGCGCACTCGTGAGACTCAAGACGTGAGATGTAAGACAGCGCGAAGCTTAAAACCTTATGAATAGATATGTATGTATGAAACACATCTACGTGACGCAGTCTACCTACACCCGTAAGACGCGCGTCTCAAACGTGTAGTGAGAATAAGAGACACGGCGCACTCGTAAGACTCAAGACGTGAGATGTAAGACAGCGCGAAGCTTAAAACCTTATAAATATGTATGTATGAAACACATCTAAGTGACGCAGTCCACACCCGTTAGACGCGCGTCTCAAGCGTATATCTAGATATAACCTGATTCATAGAAGAAAGGGATCCGAAATGGTAACATTATTTTTTGCGTCTTTTTAATAAGTATTGAGATTTGAGCAAGATGTCTTCTATAAATCAGGTAGCACCTTTACTAGCAAATTTATTTTTACGGCGGTAATATTCGGTAATATCCCAGTCAAGTGATGGATGGCGTCCAAATTGGAGCGGGTCGGAGCCCCGGACCATGCCCGGACCCGACCCTTTGCTCTTTACATTCGCGTAGGGGACAACCCTCGAGCGATAGCGGGTAACTACAAATACGCGACTTTGTTCAAACTTTTTTTTTTTAAGTTAGTAGTGAGAATGTGTAAGAGCCACGGCGTACTTGTGAGACAGCCGTGAGACGTGAGAGAGCGCGAAGCTCTAAACCTTTTCCATATAAATATGTATCAAACAAAAGAGACGCGCGTCTCACGTGAGTATTTAGATAGCACCTTTACCAGCTAATTTATTTTTACGGCGGTAATATTCGGTAATATCCCAGTCAAGTGATGGATGGCGTCCAAATTGGAGCGGGTCGGAGCCCCGGACCATGCCCGGACCCGACCCTTTGCTCTTTACCTTCGCGTAGGGGACAACCCTCGAGCGATAGCGAGTAAAAACAATACGCAACTTTGGTCAAAGAAAAATGTGTTTATTATAATAAGTTTATGGGTAGTAAGAACGTGTAAGAGACACGGCGCACTCGTGAGACTTAAGACGTGAGACGTGAGGTAGCGCGAAGCTCAAAACCATTTCCATATTAATATGTATGAAACAGAAGAGACGCCGTCTACACCCGTAAGACGCGCTTCTCACGTGTGCATCTAATTTAGATTTAACCTGATTCAGAGAAGAAAAGGACCCGAAATAGCAACATTACTGTTTGCGTCTTATATATGAGCAAGATGCCAACAATAATGTTGCCATTTCGGGTCCCCTTCTTCTATGAATCAGGTAGTAGTAGCCCCTTTACCAGCTAATTTATTTTTACGGCGGTAATATTCGGTAATATCCCAGTCAAGTGATGGATGGCGTCCAAATTGGAGCGGGTCGGAGCCCCGGACCATGCCCGGACCCGACCCTTTGCTCTTTACATTCGCGTAGGGGACAACCCTGGAGCGGTAGCGAATACTTAATGCGAAAAAAATATATGTTAAAAAACGTACAGTAAGAATGTGTACCTACCAGTGGCGAAGGGTTCATACATGCCGATTCCCACCGGCTTCCCTTCAGAAATTTACAAATCCATACTCTCACATCAATCTACTTTAATTTTGTGCATTTTTCTGCTCCGGCCTACCTTTGCGAAAATGTCACTCTTCGCCACTGGTACCTACCTATTTTGAACAATGCTCATTATATTACCAAGTAGGTATAGCATGCGCAGATAATGAATGGATTCCGAATTGGCAACATTATTGTTGATATCCTGTAATAATGTTGCCAATTCGAGATTAATTCTTTATCTGTATAAGAAGGTGGGATATTATTACCGCCACATTTTTTTACGGCAGTAATATTCGGTAATATCCTTAATAAAGTAATATCCCAGTCAAGTGATGGATGGCGTCCAAATTGGAGCGGGTCGGAGCCCCGGACCATGCCCGGACCCGACCCTTTGCTCTTTACATTCGCATAGGGGACAACCCTCGAGCGATAGCGGGTAGATAAGTACCTAGCTGTTCAAACAAAAATGTGTTTATATAACTAAGTGCCTAGTGAGAATGTGTAAGAGGCACGGCGCACTCGTGAGACTTAAGACGTGAGACGTTTGACAGCGCGAATCTCAAAACCATTTCCATTTAAATATGTATTGCAGTGTTTTCGAATAAGATGATCGCTGTCTTGCTCCAGTGGTCGGTTCTCTCTCTCTCTCCCAGTGAGACGCGCGTCTCACGTGTGTATGTAGATAGCACCTTTACCAGCGAATTTATTGTTACGGCGGTAATATTCGGTAATATCCCAGTCGAGTGATGGATGGCGTCTAAATTGGAGCGGGTCGGAGCCCCGGACCATGCCCGGACCCGACCCTTTGCTCTTTACATTCGTGTAGGGGACAACCCTCGCGCGATAGCGGGTAAGTAGACGTACAATACTTAAATTACATAGAATAGCGCTGTCATTACATTTGAAACAGGTTTTTAAAGGTTAGGACGACTAAAATTATCTTATAATTGGACGCGAAACACACGTTATCAGTCATAGTCATAATAAAACATGGCGACTAAATTACCTACCTATGAAATGAAATTTAGAAGAAACTATAGAAAGAAATGTTTAATCATTGCATGACTACGATATGTGTTATCCTTTTCTAAACGTTCGTTAGTGACCTTTCTGATATTATTTCAGAGAAGTTATCAGCTAATTTATTTTTACGGCGGTAATATTCGGTAATATCCCAGTCAAGTGATGGATGGCGTCCAAATTGGAGCGGGTCGGAGCCCCGGACCATGCCCGGACCCGACCCTTTGCTCTTTACATTCGTGTAGGGGACAACCCTGGAGCGATAGCGGGAAAGTAGCTATAATACGCGACAATAGCTACGCCACCCTGTTTTATCATCTTGTTTTTTTTGCCATGTATTGTATTCCACAATGTATCTATTTATTATACATACTTATACTCGTGAACTCAGAAATATACTCACCGGCACAACTAATCGGCCACCTGCATTAGCATGAAATACTTTTTAATATTCATAACATTGATAATTACAGTTAATATAAGTTGTAAATTAGTTAATTTATATTATTATCTATTACTATTTACATTTCGTATTTTATTAGATAAATATTTATTTTTATATTTATATTTCTAATCAACATGAAATATACCATTACAGATTGGTGGCCGATTAGTTGTGCCGGTGAGTGTATAATCAAGTTTTTGACAATTTATGGGGCGCAGCTACGAAGCATCCTACCCATAGCTGAGTTCTGGGGCTGAGTTTCTTTTGTACATTATTTACGTTTTTTGATGCGTTTATATACTTACTTAATCGAAATTATATGCATTTAAATGCGTGTAAATAAATATTCAGAAGAGTTTTGTAGGCTGAGAATCAATCGCTATGGTGATACACGTATCACGCCGGCAACACACGGCAATTATTTATCATGCTTTTCATCATTTGCTTACACTACTATTTTTGTACTTATTTAAACATTTTCTACAAGCTCTGCAGTGCCGTCTTATTGCCGCTGTCGCTCATGTCTTACACCGTTAATGCCTAACAAAGGCACTTGAGTCTTCCATGTCTATCCCAATTTGCATGTACTATTATTCCAAACGCATAATATAGTATGATTTATGCTTGCAATCATAAACATCCCTTGGCATGAATATTAAATCGGATTAAGCGTAATCACTAAGGATTTGTCGTATACAGGGTGTGAGAGACACACATTCACACATATCAGCCTACAGCAATGTACCGGAATTTTTAATGCACTCACAGTGCTATATTATTCTCATAAACTGAAAATGAAAAAATTGAAAAATTTGTTGTAAAAACTACTACTAGATGTCGCTTAACCGTCGCTTCGAGACGAGCATCAAGAGGTTGAGAAATTCACCAGAGTCCCGGGTTCAAGTCCCGGCGGTCGCTAGTGAATTTTTCAATTTTCTCATTTTCAGCCTATAGCAGTCCAATACTAAACAAAGGCCTCCCCCAGGGTACGCCACAAGGCATGATCTCCCGTTTTTGTCATCCAGTCGCTACCAAATGCTCTCTTTAAGTCATCGGTCCATCTGGCCGGAGGGCGTCCAACGCTACGCTTGTCGAGCCGTGGTTTCCACTCGAGAACCCGCTTACTCCATCGTCTGTCGGTTCTACGACAGATGTGACCAACCCATTGCCACTTCAGCTTGCTACACTTCCAGACTTTGTATAAAGGAGAGGTTTCCGAATACTGATATCTGACCATGAAACTAAACAAATTCCCATAAGAAGATATTTCAGAAATAGTAAAAGAATTTTTAACCTCTCGTAGTACCTACTTCCCGTAGTAGCTGCCAGCTGATCTTTGTTTTGTATGGAAGGTCGTTTTATTTTTCGTTTCCTGATATATGTTCTTTGGGGAAAGTTGTTCAGTTTCGTGGTCTGATGCACCACCGGAGGGCTGTCCCTTACACCCTGTATAAGAGTGCCTAGAATATTGCCTGTTGTTATAGGTAGGGCGTCTATTTGAGAGTCTGTTTGATTTAGGGTTTTATGAGTTTCTTACGTATTTTGCACGCTATGGTGTAGTAAGTAGTAGGTATTATAATTAATTAATTATCGTGGCTCAAATATAATTTTGAATAAGTACCCATTTTCATTTGAAAAAACTGTTTATTCTTACCAAAACTTAAATAAATAACACAGTATAAATTACGAACTTAACTTCTCAATGCTCAATACAAGAAAATAGTGCCGTCGGAGTGGTTTTCCACCTTAATCGTCGGCGGTGGTGGATCTCGTTCCAGCAAATAGTTCCTGACCTGAACCAACGCAGCACTTCCTGCGGAGCACAGGATCGCTGCTATGAGTAACCTGAAACAACAGAATAAATGGGACTGAATACATAAAAATAAGAAAATGAAAAAGCTTCGAGACGAGCATCAAGAATTCATCAGGTTCCGCCAGGCGCCCGTAGCTCAGTTGGCAGAGTAGTGGGACAGTACCCCACGGTCCCGGGGTCAAGTCCCAGCGGTCGCTAATGAATGAATTTTAAAATTTTCTCATTTTCAATTTATGAGAATAATATAACAGTGCATTAAAAATCTCAATACATTGAAAAAGTTGTCATGCATCGACCAGGGCTCGAGCCCGGGCGTTGACCCATGCGGCCTGTCGATGCTTGTCAATTTTTTCAATTTCGATTTAGTATGAGATAACAATTTTTATTGCATTAAAATCCTAATAGGATTGAATACCTGTTTAAAACATTTCTCGTGTGAGGTATAAAATTTTTGGAAAACTTGCAAAAATCTTTCTACCGCAGGCTGGATTTGAACCAGCTACCTTCGCCATCTGTATTGGCGGCCGATGCGTGTTGTTGCGGCTATAGTTGTAGTATGAAAGTGCACAGCGCCGCGTTTAAGGGGTGCGACAGACGCGTGCGGCCGTGCACAATTCATCTTCATACTACGACTATAGCCGCATCGGCCGCACGCGTCAGTCGCACGGCAGCTGCGTGCGTCTGCGATCGGTGGCACATGACGAACTTTCACCTAGGAAGTTTTGTCCCAAGGGCGTGATTGGAGGGGTTGTTTGAAGTCCAGTGATCTGTGGTTTAAACAACCACTTAAAGCAACAGCTAGGGCTCACCCGGAATAAGTTATGTGATTGTTTAAAATACATAACACTAGACTTTAAACAGTTCACCCAATCACGCCCTTGGGACAAAACTACTTTAGTCTAGCTAGGCTTACTAATATCACAAATTAAGGAAACAGCGCGCGGGCGCCTAAACAGATAGTTCATTCAGTACTTGCAACAATTTTGACGGTTACTGACTTTAACTGGAAATAACTGGAATCTCAGGAGACCTCAAGGTAACTAAAAAAATGGTTGGCACGAACGTAATATATCTTGGATTAAAATTTGCTCAGAATCATGTTAGACGCGCCGCGCACCGTTTCCCTAATTTGTGGAATCATCCTTTATTTGACTGTAGGTATCAGACGATTTTTGACAGTAGCAACCTGGCTATGTAACAAGTGACAATCGCAAAAATCCTGAATAGAGTCGAGTGAACCTTCTGTTAACTCGCTAATGTGTACCTACCTAGGTACGTTTTAGTCTAATTATTCGGGTCACATCTACTTACCAATACGAATATCCCAAGCTTCCATTTAATGCATAGTTTCCCTGTTTAATGTCAGACCAGGCCAGATGGTCTTCAACATTAGTAAGAATGGGGTGATGCTATATTAACCCGCTATCACACAGTAAACTTACCAGTAAGAATATCCCAAGCTCTGATTTAATGTATAGTTTCCCTGTATAATGTCAGACAAGGCTAGATGGTCTTTCAGTCCAGATGTGGCCCAGTAGATACCGAACATGAGTAGAATGAGTAGACCAAATAGTCCAGTAGCTACGTTTGACCACAGGCATCCTGAAAAGAGAACAATCAGATGTATTAGAAACAAAAACACCACCCACGGTAAGTTCAAAGTTACATTTTGAAATAAAAATCCGCCATTTGAATATATAAAATTTCATCGCTTTGGCTATATTCAATAAGTATGTAAAGAACTCAGGTTGCAAAAAAATCCCGGTAGATAGTCATGTTAAGCACCATTGGCCAAGATACACTTGCATAATTTAGCATGCAACGATTGAGCCGCGGTAGCCCAGATGGAAGAGGCATCGCCAGTACTAATGGCGAAAGTCACAGGTTGGAATCCTGCCTGCGGTGGGTTGCTAACTTATACAGGGTTATTTTTTAATCAGTGCGCAATCTTTGCAGGATGTTTCTACTCGTGATTTTGAACAATTTTCACTATGGAGCTACCTGAGAAATCTAAAAAATTATTTTATGTGTTCCATACATTTTTGCCGAGTAGGTATGAATTTTTTTTTTGCGAATTTGCATTCGCATTCCCATAGTAAAAATTGATCATAATCACGAGTAGAAACACCCTGCAAAGTTTGCGCACTGACTAAAAAATTACAGGGTGGACCAGACAGTGACGTAAAAAGACAAATTTGAAATTCCTTTTACTGAGAGGTATCACCCCATATATGTTCCACGTTTTTGTAGTTTCTAAGTTATTCAACTCTTAAAGTTAAATGGGAACCTTTCAACTGGCAGGATATTAATTTTGACATAACAGTTTTCGAGCGGTTGTTTGTGTATCATGACTTCATGACTTTAATGATTTTTACTTTCAGTAGTACAAAAAAACATTAAATATTCCTGCCAGTTAAATTTTACCCAAACCTACAATCTTTAAAGTTAAACAACTCGAAAACTTCAAAAAATCGCGGAACATACCTACCTACATGGGGGTAATTCGGATACCTCTCAGTCTAAGTAGTTTTTTCTTTTAAAGTCACAATATGGTCAACCCTGTATAGATGAAGTTATATCATTACTATTGTGACAGGTTGTCAGCCCATTCGAGTCCCTTAGTCGCCTAGTTTTGATAACACAATTATAGTACCGTCATTCGAATAGGCCAAATTTGACAGCTACCAAAATCATGTTTTTGCACTGTTTTTGCTATGACATAAGGTCTACTTTTCTTGTTGACATGTGCCCATTATGGGTTTGACAGCTGTCAAATATGCCTATTCGAATCACGGTACTATAATATACCTACCTACTCCTACGTACAAGTAATAATGATAGTAAAACAAACACAAATAACAAACAAACATTAGGATAATCCACAAAACACATAATAGGGTCAAAATTAATCTGGATTAAGTTTTGATTTACTGTTATCGAGGTACCGTTAGGGTTTAAACTTTAAAGGGTTGCCTATTTTATTACAACTACTGTAGAATTCTCACATTTGTAATCCAAGGTTTAACAGGGTCATTTGTAATTGTAAACGACCAAAACTTTGGAAAAACGATCTTTATCTTATTTCATTTATTTATTCGTTTACAATATAAATTGTGTTCGAAATTAATTAATATTACATTTACACATAACAATAAAAACATTGACCCTATTGTAGAGGCAATATTAGCGCTGATTCTCGTTTGGCTTAGATTTCCGTGTAGTGCCGCCTTAGAATAGCATCAAACCTTATCTTTGCCGTAAGTGTCGTAAAGAAGCGACTAGGGATTTGAAACTTGATGTGTATTTAAATTTTAGGCGACAGGCTGACAAGCTGTACCTAACTACGGTGATACACAGTCTCCTGAATGTCTCTTACAACCTTTGTCAGACTTGATGTAAATGGCCGTTTTTTATAACCTTTTACGCTCTGCCTACCCCGCAAGGTATAGGCGTGATATATGTATGCACCTACCTATGTCCCTATTTATTTAACAGACTCTTAAGTTAAGTTCTTAAAAACGAAACTTTTTGAAATATAATATGATCAGTTTTCCACGTCTTGCTAAGAGATAAGTAGAGTTCATTTGAAAAAAAATACTGTTCGTTTACCTAACTTTGCGAAATAACTTGAAGCCACTTAAAAGCGCGCGTGCTCTCAAAGTTTTCATACAAACGTATTCCCCTGTTTTATTTCCGAATAATGCATGTAGAGATATTATTATTTTTATTTCATTAACGCATGGTGCGTTTGACCATAGTCGACAGATATTCATCCGAGGTCAAACTAAAAACCAAACTCTACATCGCCTTTTACGAAACACCCTGAGTGGACTAGGGGTGGCAGTATTCTTTGCCGCTACCACACGGATCTCTTTTAGTTTTAGACATCCAAATAAAGAAACCCTTACCAGGCAATCCAAATATAGGTTCAGTAGGGTTCCTAGTAGCGTTGACGATGGCTAAAGCAGATGATACCACAGCTGATAGTAGGTGCAGAAACACGAAGACTAATAGTGGTGGCAGTATTCCTTTTCGCTACTAAAGTAAGGCCAACCAGACGAGATAAAAAGTGTAAACAAATCTGAAAGAGACAGCTGACATTATACCATATGACAGATAAGGACAGATTGTAATAACTGTCACCGAGTCATACAAAAGTTGTTTACATTAATTATCTCGTTTCGTTGGCCATACTTTACACGGTGCTCTTTTTAGTTCAATTCAAGTTTTAGAAATCCAAATAAAGAAATCTTACCAGGTAATCCAAATATAGGTTCAGTAGGGTTTCTAGTAGCGTTGACGATGGCCAGAGCAGATTGATCTTTGGGAATGCTATTGTAGGCGGTATCACCGCCACCATACGGTTGACCAAAATCGACAGATATCCATCCGAGGTCAAACTGAAAACAAAACTCTACATCGCCTTTTACGAAACACCCTGAGTGGACTAGGGGTGGCAGTATTCTTTGCCGATACCACACGGCGCTCTTTTTAGTTTTAGAAATCCGAATAAAGAAAACCTGACCAGGCAATCCAAATATAGGTTCAGTAGGGTTTCTAGTAGCGTTGACGATGGCCAGAGCAGATGATACCACAGCAGACAGTAGGTGCAGGAACACGAAGACTAATAGGGGTGGCAGTATTCAAGCAGTATTCTTTGTCGCTACTAGACGACGCTCTTTTTAGTTTTAGTTGTCGCTACTAGACGGCGCTCTTTTTAGTTTTAGACATCCAAATAAAAGAAATCTTACCAGGCAATCCAAATATAGGTTCAGTAGGGTTCCTAGTAGCGTTGACGATGGCCAGAGCAGATGATACCACAGCAGACAGTAGGTGCAGAAACACGAAGATTAATAGTGGTGGCAGTATTCTTTTTCGCTACTAAAGTAAGGCCAACCAGACGAGATAAAAAGTGTAAACAAATCTGAAAGAGACAGCTGACATTATACCATATGACAGATAAGGACAGATTGTAATAACTGTCACCGAGTCATACAAAAGTTGTTTACATTTATTATCTCGTTTTGTTGGCCATGCTTTAGACATCATCATCTGGCCTGTTTTTATCCCAAATCAGTTGGGGTCGGCGCATGGTTTGTTAATCACGTAGCAAAAAGATATGGCAATGCTCTATGACCGGCCGCCTGCGTGACGGCAACCCTCTTTAGGAATGCTATTGTAGGTGGTATCACCGCCA